CTGCTCACGAATAGTATCTACTATGTTCAACATTAAATCAAAATGTTTTTTATTATATTTATATCGTCTGTATTGCAATTGCGCATTAAAAGTCTATTTATAACATTTTATCAAGATAAAATGAATGTGCATTTTTTTTTAATGTAAATTTGTACAAATTTGTTTGTGCCTAAGCATTGAAGTGTTCATCTATTTATACATTGTCAGTGTGTGATTCGAATATTTTGTTGATTATACATTTCTTTAAATGCATATATCACTAAGATTTCTCATCGGCATTATTCTACGTAATAAGTACATTCAATAAATATTTATAAAAATTTATTATTTTCAGAGTAAATTGACAGAAATTGCATAGCCGAATGGCTCGGTTCAATGCATTTTATAAAATTTTAGAAATTATTTATTCATTGTTATATAAAAATTAAAATTGAAAGGAATATTTGCCGGTATATGGGCACCACGGTAACCGAGCTAATTTAATTTTATCGTAAATTGACACACTATTATTGTTATTACAAATGATTACCTCTAGGTTGTAAATAAAGCATATTGCCGAGGAGAAGAAAAAAAAGGTTTGCCCGAACCTCGTGCTTCTTTAATAATTAAGAATCTTCAAGATGAAAACACCATAAATGTAATAATTCATGTAATATTATTAAATAAAATACGACTTTAAAAGAACATAACAAAAGCGTATTGATATAATTTTCGTCGATACTTCACGCAATTAGTTATATATACAAGAATAGTGTTAGAATTATAGATGAATGGAGTATTAATAATAATACTGGGATGGTCCTTAATGGAACAAGAATTAATATCGATTTAAAGTGCCGCAGACCATCTGTCCCGAATGTAAAATAATCGTGTAAGCGATTCTAATTCTTTTCTAATCCTAGGCATATAAGGACTTACACGAAGGCCTATATAAATGTTATAAGCATAGCTTCTTTCGATTCTCCGTAAATTCGTTGTCTTACGCACCGCTACAATTTTTTCATTACATAAGTTCTTAAGTAAGCAAATTAAAAAACGCTTAAAAAGAGTTTTCCAAAAATGAAGTGCAACGTCTTGTAGATTAATATTAAAAGATCGGGAGCCGCTTATGAACTGGTAGGTCAGGTACAAATATGCAAGGCGCATCTTATCCGCAGAGTCTCGAACTGGCGCACCAGGTGCATCGATCGTGGACCACCGCGGGTGGCCAAGTCAAAGAGTGCAGCGCAAACACACGCTCGTGGATTCGCATCTCGGGAGATTGCGCAGGCGTCCTCGAAAACTCAAGTTGTGATAGTGGGGTATGGGTAGGGTGGTATTTAGGGACGGCAGAGCGGGGCGGGGGCGGGTGGGGATTACAAAGGATCGCCCTCGCGAATCACACGGTCCGGCGCAGAATATTTGCTCGCGCCGCGGGAAGCCGCTGCGGTGTTGACCTTTTGGCCCGCTGCCGCGAATTAACGATGTTTGCGCTTAACCCTTGCCTCTCCGGGGATCTCCCTCTTTCTCGCACACGGGCATGTGCTCTCTCCCTCTCTCTCTCTCTCTCTCTCTCTCTCTCTCTCTCTCTCTTCACTTCTTTGTCTTAAGCTCTCTTCAATTGTACCGAGAGAAATGAAGGGGAGGCGAGAGACGATGCCGCGACTGTCCCCATTACATTTGTTGTTTTCGATGATAGGCCAAGATGAAGGAAAAAAAAAAAATAATAAAAAAAATATAGCGGATAACGTCGCTTCTGCGAGCGGGAAAGGGTCGATGAGCGCGATGACGTAAGATAATGATGCTGTGGAATATAGTGTAGCGAAGCCGCCGGACACTGTAATTTAACTAGCGCGCTAAATCTTCCCCATGCGAGTACAGTCGAAACGTTACGTAGAGCTCGTGAGTCACATTGATAAGGCGACTCGACTCGAGTTTGTACGTCCGTCGAAGCTTCGCACCAATAAAACTGAAATATCCAGTAGGCGAGCAAGACGATGGTCGACTGGACTTTTTCGCCAATAATAAAGTGCACGGACGAAGCCCAGCGCGAGAAGATAAGAAGAAAAAGAAGGTTTAGAGTCTCGAGAAATGCCCATTGTGCCCCCGTGCGATACCCCCGCTTATTTATACGAATGTACATAACATTGTCATACAATGTCAGCGAAGAACTATGTAAATCCGCTGTTAATCTAATTAGACGGCCGATAAAAATGACTGAGCGTCGTCGACTTACGTACCGGGAAAGCCCCCGTGAATTCCCCGACGATAAAAACCGGCGTATCGGCGTCCCCCCGCCCCGCCCCCTCTATTACCGCTGTTGATGCGCGAGCGCGCGCTTGCGTGTTTCGGCGCCGCTTTTCCCCGCTCCGGTTGACTCCTGGTGGTCGCGTCCGGTTGCCGCACGTTTTATGCTTAATCGGCAGCGCGTGATACGCGGACACGCGACACCCGACGACAATCGGAGACCCGTCGTCTTGTTGTAGCCGTAAACAAGCCGCTCGCTCCTAAATTTTCGCTGACGCCACACATGTACACGTACCTCGACTACTTTTATCCGTCCTCGCTCCTGGACTTTACGTTCTATTAATTCTCCGCCGCCTCTTCCCCTCGTCGCCACCTCCGCCTTATTCTTCCAATGCTGAGACAGAGAGAGAGAGAGAGAGAGAGAGAGAGAGAGAGAGAGAGAGAGAGAGAGACAGAGAGAGAGAGAGACAGAGAGAGAGAGAGAGAGAGAGAAAAGAAAAATATCACATTTTCACCTATTAGGGAGCTCACTTCCCCCTCCCCTCTCCCCCCCCCCCCCCCCCCCCCCCCCCCACCCCCCCCCCCTCCGTATCCTCTGCTAATCAAAAACTGCGCTTTTCAGCGATAAGCCCCGTTCTCTCGAGCGACTATTTCACCCCAATTAGAGAGCTCTCGCTCATTAGAATCGTTGCTCGGCGAAAATTTTAGAGCAGCCGGCTGAGTTCCCGATTTCACTGGATTAGGGATCATATTTATATTGGCTGGGTAGCGCGAGGCCATGTTATTCCAGTGAGAAAATTCGTTCGAGTAAAAGAGAGAGATAGATGCTTAAGGTGGCTTATCCCAGCTACTGATTACTTATTCGGAAATTTTCAACAGGTTTAATTAAGCCAACAAGAATTTTAATAATACATTGGCAATAATGCACGACGGCATTTCTCCGTTCTTTCCGAACTCCAATAATAATATATAATATATAATAGTGGCTGGGCAACTTGTAAGGATAAAGTGGCTATGAAGGATCATGGGTATGATGTTCGATCTAATCGATGAGCGAAAAGAAGTAAATATAACGGCTAATAAAGCTTGGTCGTGATGAATTAAATTTGTTCAGTTTTGTTAAATTCAGCTAAAAGCTGCCGTAACATTTCATTTCAGAAATAAATGTTTCTACTAGAAATTGCTATAAAATTTTAGCGTTATTATTTCGAAGATTCGGCAATAAATATATAAAATTATTAACTCTCACGTGACATAATCGAATTAATCGTTAAGCGTTATTGTTCATTTCTATCGATGACAATAACGACATAATTTTGAAAATGATTTTCGTTTCTTTTTCATTTCTTTTTTCTTTTTCTTCAAGCTTCAACTATCGTATTTTTGTGAACGAATCACTTTATGAAATCGCAAATATAAAATTTCTGATACGTGCATAGATTCTGCTAAAATGTTCTATAGACCTGATTTTTTACACTCTAAATGAAACGAAAAACTTGAACTATTTTATTGTAAATTTTATAGTCATTAGCTCTGAGTATAAAATAATAATTAATCTTGTCCTTATTAATGGGTCGGAAGCAAAATTGCAATAAGCATAACTTACATTTAAGTTTATGAAAAATCATTCGATCGTTTTATTAAGCATTTTATAAGAGTTTTATATTATTTATAAGCATCGTTTGGAATTTGATATGTGGAATTTTAAAAAGTAGCGCAAGATATTTAAAAATTATAAATTTGGCATTTATAACGTATTAATCCTTTGATCGACGTATTCGTATAAACAAAAAAAAAAAAAAAAAAAAAAAAAAAAAAAAAATTATAACC